CAACTAAGAATCACTATGCCACAAACACAGGATCAAATCATCCTCATTCCCTTCATATTCCACTCAAACTGCTTCTTTGTGGAATAGACTTCTGAGTGAATGCTTTCTTGATCACAACAATCTTAACCTTTTCAAGTCTTGGCCAACCATTATCTATCCTATATATCCTCATAATATGCACTTTTTACCTCTTCCTCTTACATTTATACAACAATATTACCTTTGGTAGCTCTCGGACCTTATATTGGGGGGGAAAATAACAAAATAGAACATAAAAGTACTCAAGAACAGTTTTCATGGTTTCTTTGTTTTTACAGATTATTTTTTATGATTATTTAGGTTTTATAATCATTAGACTGATTTCTGGTTGCAAGTAGCTTTTACTTTGCTTTAAAATCAGTTTTTTCTTCTTTTAGGTAGGTTTTCATTCACATGCATCCCAAGTTTTAATTAGCCATTAAATTCTGAGACTTGATCGCATTCCAGATATTCTTGAACTTTTTTTTGGTTTCAATGTTTTAGAATGTCTTGTATAATGGAACAAATCAGCAAGTACTCACCAATTGAGTATTTAAGCTTGAAACCCTTTCTTACGTTGCTTCCAGATGTTCGGAAGCGGATATACATGACATTGCCTTGAGAATAAATGGTACTAATATTTGGGTTTGTACCACAAACCGTTTTGATTAGAGGGGAATTTCTTGTACTGCCATCGTAGAACTGAAGGAAGTTTCGTCTACATCTGAAATAAAAGTATTAAAAAAAATTCACAAAATTATCCAAATATTAATGTAATGACCAATGCCAAAAAATTGATTTACCTCCCTGATACCTATATTTTTACAAGAGAGGATAAATATTTAACTTCAGTAGCTCCTTTGACCATATTTTGGATGTTTCATCACCTTCAAAGGTGTTCTGGGTTAAGTTTTCTCTATGCCACTCCCTGGATCATAGCCTATCTGCATGTTGGTTGAAATCCCAAATCCATCCAGTAGTTTCTGAATCTCTAGTGGATAGATAAACTGACAGACACTTCAGTTTATTAAATTATTATATATTCAGATTTATCAAAACTATTTCTGTATTTTACAGACTTTTCACAAATATTATTTCATGGACAACTTTTTAAAAAAATTCCATTCTATTAATGTTATAATTGTAATAATAATAATATATATTAGGATGTAAAATTTTTGTTTTTTTATAGACCTTTATTCCGAAGCTTATTTTATGTAAAAAAATATAAAATCACATGAATCCATTATATTATTATTATATTATTAATAGCATTATCACTTTGCTTGGGTAAAATGATGATATACATGGTATGATTGTCTAAATTATGCAAAAAGGAATAGAACACTGGCATCTCATTTTAACAGATATATTTACCAAAATTAAACAAAAATATTTTGAAATACTGAAGAACAAATTTATTCAATAAAATCACCACTGACATCAACCATAGTCTCCAGACAACTTTGGAATCTCCTGCAACTCTTCTGGAGGGTCTCCTTGTTTAAGTTGGTGAATGCTGCCATAATTCTTGCTTTCAGTTCATCTTTGGTGTTAAAAGGAGTTTTGTTGGTTTCTTGCTCAACTGCACCCCACACATAATAATCAAGGGGGTTACAGTCTGGGGAATTAGGTGGCCAGATGTAAGGGAGTGATGTGGTTAAAGAAATTGTCTCACTGCCCTGACTAGGTTCTCTCCTACTTGTTTGGCATGGTGCTGAGTCCTGTTGCCAGACACAGGGTCTACCAGTAGCCACCCTCTCAACCCGGGGCAGTACTACCTCCTTAAGGCACTTGATGTATGCCTGCATGTTGAGGCCCTGTGAGAATGGAGGAATAATGTGATCACTTGAAACACCATGATGTCAACTGGATCTATCATCCAACTCTTTCCAAATCCTCTGCACTGTCCTCAGATTGACACCCAAACACTCTGAAATGTTTATATTGAAGCTTCTGCATGAATACCAAGCAGTACAGTATATTGTTTCCAAATTTCTGGCAAAGTGAAGTGTGTCATGGTGTGCTTTTTCTCATAGATTGTGCCCAACTGACCCTAATATACTGTGCAGTCAGCAAAATTTATTTTTTATTTTGTTAAGTGTGTCATGATATTTTCATTTGCTCCTAGATGTGCTGTTGCTTAAAAAGGTTGAGAAACACTGGACTATACTATAAAATCCAAAGAAAGTTCTGCAATATTATTGGTCCTAACCTAGTATGTTGACCAGTCACTTTCCCATTAATCTTTCATGCCCTGTGCTTCTCTATAAATATTTTCATGACAATTGTTCTAATGAGCTTTCCCCTTGGTACCCTAACCACCCCCACCTCTGCCACCAACAATCTTCAAAAATTTAAATGCAACCTCCTTTGCCATCTTCTGTCTTCCTGAATCCTGTTTTTTATTTTTCTTTCTTCTCAGTAACATTTTCTCATTTTCTTTCACTCTCAGTAACCCCTTACATCTTAGTGGCTTCATCACCTTGCTTAAGGTGAAATGATAAAAAAATAGAAAACGTTTGTTTTTTGTTTTTATACATGACCTTTATCCCAGAGCTTAATTCAAGTACCCATTTAAAAATTACCTATAATTACTATATATATATATATATATATATATATATATATATATATATATATATATATATTTAAATTCTGATGAATTCTGTGAAAGACAGACAATTGGAAAAATCTTACATTTTTGCCTTGAAAAAGTCGGAAGACGAAACACGTCGGCTAAATGTAAGATTTTTTTCCAATTATCACTTGATGCCATATATATATGTATGTAAGCAAATATATGGGTATAGATCTGACAGTATGAAGAAAAATATACGGAAAAAAAACAAACTAAAATCCTAATATACAATTATGCTGTTTGAATGTTAATCTAATGTCAACTCGGACGTTTCGGTCTAATAGACCATCTTCATATATATATACATTGTATATTAGGATTTTTGTTTGCTTTTTTCTGTATATTTTTCTTTATATATATATATATATATATATATATATATATATATACATACATACACACACACACATGTATGTATATTTGCTACACAAGTTTCCAGTTTTGCGATCTTCATCAGACAAACAGTGGTTATTTCCATATATTATTAAAAGGAATTAATTTTCCTAATGTTTATTGTCTTTTGTGCATCTACTACACACAAAAGACAATTGTTGAACATTGGAAAACATGTGAAAAATTAATTCCTTTTAATAATATGTGGAAATAACCACTCTTTGCCTGATGAAAGTTGCAAGACCGGAAACGGGTAACAAAAAATATGGAAAATAAAATATATATATATATAAGATCCACATTATAACCAAAAATGTTTACAGCTTCACTCTTCTTTTTAAATGACACACACACACACATATATATATATATATATATATATATATATATATATATATATACCTAGTGAGCCAGACAAACCTACCTAGGTTTCACCTAAACGGATCGTCAGGGAAAGTTTGTATCTAGGTCTGCTCTACGGTTTGTATTGAGCTCTTTTGTTAGTTAGTTGTTACTCGTATCGGGGTTTTTCTTTGGGCTTCAGACCTGCATCTGTGCGATTTTTTTTGTTGGCAGAAGTCCATGTTTGTAGCTCTTTCTTTTTTAAAACCTTTTTTTCCTCGAGATTGATTAGCAAACAAAAATTTGAGGGTTTTTTCGAAACGAGTCTAGTTATTTATATATATATATATATATATATATATATATATATATATACACACACACACACATATATATATATATGTATATATATATATATATATATATATATATATATATATATATATATAAAAATATAAATGCTATTCAGTTGTTCATGGTAGATTCAGGTTTGGTAATTTAAAATTTGGTATCAAATCTTCTCTTATGAGTTTGTAAATTGAAAAGAAAGGAAACAATATCTAAGTGTAATGTCCGAAACTAATTTAACCACTTTGAGTTTGGTGGTGGATGACCTTGGAAAAACCTAATAATAAGCACTGAAGTATTGCCTATATAGTGCTGTAATCTAACACATTACATTACTAAAATGATTATTAAACTTCACAAATAAAAGCAATGTATTTTAACATACCTTCTATACCGCATGTATAAATCAACATCGTTCAAATCAATTTGCACACGTTGAAAACCAGGTGCACTGATTATCCACTCACACTCCACGTTATTTGGATATGGCTGAGGATAGTTAATCGATTGAATGTAACCACTTGGAATTGCATTGTTCAAGTAAACATTACCACCACAGTCCAAGCCTTTCTTCTGTATAATGAGTTTAACCGGAGGACCATAGTCTTTCCTTAGCCTGATGTACATAGAGGGGCCAACTGATTCAAAAGTCCGATTCCATTGACTGTAAGTCAAACAAAATCTTGAGCTAGAAGGTAACAATGGTGGTGAATAGTCTCTGCTTCCATCATTGATCTGCAAAATTAAAAATTTTGAATTTGAGAGAGGATGATTGTTTACACAATATAAAATAATAAATATTATATTACAATAATAATAAATATTATATTATATTACAATTTTGGTTGATCCTCTGTAAGTTAGCACACGTGTTACACCATGCCATTACCACACATAAATAATGAACCACTGTTTTCATTGCAAGGAAATGTGGGAGAAAAACCTATATAAGAAATGCTGTTTGATTTTAATGACAAAAAGAAAACCAGCATAAAAATAAGAAAGATTGATTTGTTTTTTCACAGCTTAACCTTTTAAAAGACTGAAAATATTTTAAGAAATTTTTTGAGATAATAATGATTTACTGATACAAGTCCTACTAATTAACCCATAGGTAGGGGGAGAAGAGGTGGATTCATATCTTTCCCATTAGTATTTACATGTAAATGAATATAACAAACCCAATTGAAATTAAAACTCTGCTCTCTCTCATTAACAATTATGAGCTATTATTCATTACAATATCTCTACATCCAAGCTTACAGCACTTGGTATTCACAAGCAGTCACCCATCTAAGTACTGACCAGGTTCAAAGTTGCTTAACTTTGGTGATTGTATAGAAACTGGTGTTTCAATGTGATATGACTGTAAGGATTTAGGAAAAAGACAGAAATAGATTTTCTTTGGATCAATAAAATCCTTCCCTCCACAGAGATTGATTGGCAAGCTGAGAAGAAAAGGAAATAAATTTCTAAGCCTATGTGAAATCATTTTTGCACCAATAAAACTTTGTTATCTGCTGAGCCAAGAAGAAAAGAAAATAGCAAGTCTATGTGAAATTGATATAAAATGAGGAGAAAAATTAAATTAATAAGCGAAGAGTGCTTGAAGTCATGTGAAAGGTTTTGTTTCTGTTCATACGTCCAATATTGAAGTTTTAGCTAGTGTCAAATTACTCACCAATTATATTTTGGGTCTTACCCCAGCATGTGGTACTTCAAGGAATTTTCTCTCAACAATTCAAGAAAGCTAATTATTTCAAACTACCTTTTTTCATGTACTTTTGAACATAAACAAACCATATATCACTTTGGTGGGCAACAAATTTTTACATTTGGTTTAAACATTTTTGAATATTATTTTGTACCAGATCATTTAATCTGTTGTATGAACATTTCCTCTTCCTGACAGTCCATTAAAACTACAGACTTTACAAAATTTTTTATTTATTTTTCTGAACCAAGCTACTGACACAATTTAAATTCATGAATAAATTCCTTATTTTGTTTTGTTAAAATTATCCCTGTGTTTCCTCATCATGATCATCCATCAATAATCTTTTTAGCATGGGTAAATCAAAAGTTCATTTTAACCCTGAAGCCCCAAACCTCTCAACTGTATGAAGTTAAGCATACCACTAAATTGGCAACTAGGTTTCTGTTGCTCAATGTGACCCTAAGTTCTATTCTAATAGATTCTTTTCCTTACATGTGGAACTATTTTTGAATTTCTTGCTTCTCTAACACCTATGTTCTTCAAGAGTTTCAGTTGCCATCTTATGTCTTCCCAAAACCTGTTCTCTTATTGGTCTTTCTCCTTGCTAATGTCTTCTCATTCTCTTTCAGTCCCAGTAATCCTTTGGGTCTTGCTTTGCATTATCACCTTACTTGAAGGAGTGAAATGATTTATAAAAATAAAACCACATATTGAACTCACACTCTTTGGGTCCTGTCACTGGATCTAACCAACACCTTTATCCACTGTGCCAGTATATAAGAGTGTGAGTTCAATACCCGGTTACGGCAGTGGAGAACTTTCAGAGGGAAAATTAACAGGAGATAACTGATAACTGACATCTATTAAACATGACACGTGGAACTAGAACAGTCTACCCCAGTGAGCGAAATAAAGAGTTCAGTTCGACATTCCAACCACCTGAAGAAGGCTGGAGCGTACAACAGCCGAAACGTTGTAATAAATATGGCAACAAAGATGAGGACAATAGTCCAAATAATGTACATAATACCTCATCTCAGAAATATAGACAGATATTGAAAGTCCAGATAATGCTTTAAAATATCAGAAATTAGTTTACACTGTTTTCTGAAAAGGGCCCTACTGACACTACTTCTAAAATTATTTAAAAAAAAAAATAAATAAATAAATGAATGAAGATTTTTATTTTATTTTTTTTTTTTTTTTTTACAAGGGGACTCATTTACTTAAGTATTGCCTCTTGGACCTTTATCCTTTATGTACTTAGAATGTATTTTTTTAAATTGTTTTAGTGGTCCTGACTGACAATATAAAACATGCGAATGATTGTAAATTATTGTCTTAATGGAACCTCATCTGACACTTAGGCTTACCTGTAAGAAGTCGTCAGTACAGTTAATTTGATGGGAGTAAAACACAACCTTCACTTTAACCTTGTAATACATTTGTGTTTGAACAACCCATGTACAATCAGAAAAGAATTTGTTGCTCTCTATAATCCAGGATGTCTTAATGCGAACCGTCCCTCCACACACTGAAGAAAAAGATGAGAAAAAAATTTTAAATTTTCTTTTTAGCTAACATTCAAAGAGTCACAAAGAACTCTGCCTAAGAACAGAAACCATTTGAGGACTTTCAACAGCAGCAACTACCAAAATGGATAGGACACATAACTTTAAAAGAAGATGATGACATAATCAAGATGTTGATGTTCCACATGACTTCAAATAAAATGTTAGGAAGGAAACCAATATCAATACTAGAAAAAGCTGCTGGATTTGAGAAGCCTGTTTTCTTAAATAAATGTTTTAAGAGAAAGATTTTATAAATTTCAGTCAAAAGTAGTAATGGCTACTTGGTCAATGAATGCTAAATGTTTCCTTATAATGAAAACTGATATTACCATTACCATTCAGTAACAATCTAAAAGGAAAATTGATTGATTGGTTGTTTTGCAGGTTCTTTACAGCCAGAAAACGTTTTTGAATTGTAAGAAACTTCAGCGATAATAATGATTTACTGATACTATTTAATCCATAGCTGAGGGAGAAGAAGAAATAGCTTCACACTTTTCCCAACTTTTGCAAGTAATTGAATATAACAAACCTGTCTGAAATTGTAACTCAGCTCTCCAATTTCAATTCTGAGCCATTATCTATTAGACCAGATTGCATTGTGGAGGGTTTCTGTTAAAATGGTTATGATGAATGGGCTGCATGATATGAATGAAAGAGGAAGTGCTAAGAAATAAGGATAAGATTGACCCTTGACTTGAAGAAGCCCAGATTGAAGTTTTCAGGGAATGTCCAATGAAGTAACATTTCTCTGGAAAAACTGAGGAATTTTCCCTTTATTTAGCATGGTGACTCTTAACTGTAAAAGGTCTGAACTGGTGGGTTTTGGTTTGGTTTGGTTTGGTTTGGTTTACAATATATCAACCTCAATGGGTTACTTAATGCCGACAAAATTTTTATTGCTAGTAATATTTTTTTCCTTCAAAAATCTATTTCTGGTAATATTTTTCTTCAAAAATTTATTGCTGGTAATATTTAATTTTCAAAAATGTATTGTTAGTAATAATTTTTTTACAAAGTATTTCTGGTATTAAAACCTATTTTTCATACTTTCATAGTGTTTTGACCCCTGTTTGGGGGTTAACTACTTGCCCATAGCTAGGACCCTAACAGGTGCTACCATCTCGGGTTAGGGTGGGCCTGGGAACACCAGCAATTTAGAAGTGGTTTCATGCTCCTCAAAACCTCCTGATCAGACGTCTGAACTGGTGGGACTAAGAATGAAGCTAATCTGAACATTTGCCATAGAAAAAGCAATAGATTAACAAAAGGCAGGTAAATTTCTGTTTTCTCTCACAAGACTGCATAAACAATTCTTTTTTACCCTGTCAAGGTGGAAAAGTGGAATTGGGAGGCTTGCAGACCAAATATGGCAGCAATGCTCTCCATCTTTGGTCTAATCTGACTTCTGCAAAGATTAAGCATAGCAGAAGGCATCAGGTTCTTTCTGGAACAATTGAATGAGCCAAACATTTTTCCAACATCTTCATCAAAGGATCAGATATTCCTCTGAAGATCTAGAGTGAAGACAAGTTTCAGTGGACATTCAAAGAATTAATCTTTGAGCACAACCATTTATTGTGACAGGGTAAAACTCAAAGTTTTATAACAAACAATGGAAAATGTAAAACCGACATTGGAAGGTATATTGGAATAGCAAAAGTTGATTCCTAAAAGCTAAACAAAGTATTAAGAGACAAGAAAATATGATTAGAAATGAAGAATGCTGACCAACTTTCTCACAGATAAAAAGCAGACTAGAATAGATTGAAAATTAACAAGCCATGTGGTATGTTAAAGAGGCATGGTGGAGTAATGGATAGCAGCTTGGATTGAGGAATTGGAGAGCTGAGTTCAAATTCCAGTTGAATCCATTACATTCACTTATGTGCTAATACCATTCAGAAAGGCATGGATTCTTTTCTTTTCCCCCCCAGCTATGGTTAAATAGCCGGACAGACTTGGTTCTGTAGCCTTGGATGTCAATTGGTCTACTGCAGAAAGAAATGGCAAACTACTATGGGGGGGAAAAAAAAATCTGCCTCATCAGTCATGTATTGAAAAATACATGACTGCCTAAACATGTATCATGCATGCTACATAACTGACTAATGTAGTATGTCTGAAATTATTCTTACCACTTAAGCTGCAAAGCTGATGCTTTTAGAAACACTGTCAGTGTTTATACTAAATAACAATTGAAGCAGTAAGTATAATTGTCCAAATGTTTGTATATCAACTAAAATACAACTATGGTGGTATCTGAATATGCCTGTCTGCTCAGGTGGCTAACCAATGCCTACTGCAGATGCCTGCTCAGGCTCATTTGTGTTTGTTCAATACCCACATGGACCACCTGTGGTTTATACTGCAACTATGCTGAGTGGACTTTAGTTACAGTTTTGTGGTCGGCAGTCTGAACAAGGCCAGTATGCATAAACCCTCAGTCACGATGACTTGTGACTGTGCTAACACAACAATCAATGGCTCCCAAATAGTTCCATCTATCCAGTTTTACTCACAAAGCTTGGGTCAGCTTGTGGTATGGCTTTCAAACACTTTCCAAAAGTGCTGCACACTGGGATACAACTAAAATATTACTAAAATACTAATCTTACTATTCTTAATAAAGCATCTCATCTACATTTCTGAATAGAACAGCATTTAGAGAAAATAGAGAATTAACTCTCAAATTTTTTTTTCATCATTACACTCCAAGCAAGGCTAGCTGAGTATGAAAGGATAATGAATGGAATGATAAACGGAGAGTAATCAAGAAGATAACGATTGACATTGCATTTAAATTTTTGAAGATCAAAATTAGCTGGAAAGCATGGAGCCAGAATAGAGTTCTACAAGTGAGAAGTGCGAGAAAAGAAACTTATGGTTACATCTAGCCATTTTAACTGTAAAATGAGACCTTGCCGATGATCTAGTATTGCACTTAAATTCATAAAATCTGGATACAACAGCGGAAAGTTCATCAGAACCATTACCGTGAAAGTAACACAAAAGACGCAGAAAAGCTACATTATGGCAGTGGGAAAGTGACTGAACTCAAGATGTCTGGAACAATAAC